AACTGATTCGAATTGTTCTTTTTTGACAATCTAACCCCCTCCATCAGTAGGTTGCAATACCCTATACGTTTGTGGAGAAATGAGTTTTTTCTGGTTTCCAGTAGCTAAACTCATTTAAACACTTCATCACAAACATAATGTGTGCCTCCATATTGCGATTGAAATTTTTGGATAATACTTTTTATATTAATATACACATACACTTGGGGCTCCGAAATTACCTGTAGAGCTAAGCTTAGTAAGGTTTTAATGGGATATTTAAAAAATATAAACATTTGAAGTGAAATTTATTTATGCCATTAGTAATACTTACGTTATAGTAAATGTTCGCTTAATTCATTTTCCGATAAGTATACACATATATTTACATATTCTAAATTACATCTGTACACTGTATTTATATGACACTTCATTAAAGTGGAATTTTTATTTTGTAATTTATATATTTTTAATTTAACTTTGCCCGGTGAAAATCATTAAAATATGAAGATTTTTGTATAATATTGGAATATAACTAACATGCAAACATTCGAATTTATTTTTATAGTAAAATTATCATTTACGTATAAATTCTTCTCTCAGTGCTTGTTGGCTACTTAAAGATGTGATTAATTCGTTTCCAAACTCCTGTTGATTCAATCCAGTAAATGTTAGAAATTTTTAGACTGCATTCCTCAAAAACGAATTCGGTTTCTAACCACATTTAACTAAATTTATTATTACATAATGTGCAAATATTTCCTTGTTATCATCATACAACGGCAATTACTGAAGTCAATTCAGAAGTACCTAATTATAAACAGGACACCAATTTATTCACGCTCACTGTTTCCTTTAAGTACAGTAATTAAAAAAACAAAAAAAAAAAAAGAATTGCATGGAAAACTTTTTTATTATTTTATTATTTCTTTTGGTTTTTTTATGGACAACGTTAGATGGACGGCAGGATTCATAATTCATCCCGCCGGGTAAGTTTCTAGTATATCAGTTAAATTATTATAATAATAAATAATTTTCCTGTACCAATTTTTTAAAATTTGTTATGTATTATAATTTTACGCTGTTATAAAAAAAAATTTGCTAATCCATCCGACTACTTACTGGCAATTAATTTAATGTTAACTGGCAAAGTTGAATAAAAATAATTGTGGTATATCCAATATTGTTCCACTACAATAATATTGTGCAATCTTCACGCAGAGGTATCACAAATCGAAGATATGAAATAGTTTTAAGGACGAAATTGACAAAATAAATTGATTATTGTTAAAAAATGCCTGCTGAATTTTGAATGAAAAATACCTCACCTCCTTTTGTATTAGTAATACTATGTTGGAATTTACAAAAAAAAAACTATATATATACATATATATACATATATATATATACTTGTATATATATAATTATATATAAATATTACTGTAAGAAATATACTAACAAAATGCATACAATAAATTCATTAGAGCCTTGCAATAATACATGTGCAGTGTTTTTGCTCATATATCTAAAACTTATATTTTTGTTTGATTGTGTGTTTTCAGGATTCGAATAGCACGGGCCAACGGCAGCAGACAAGCAGCCAATCGAAATCGGCTGCTAAGCAAGGCTACTCGCCCTCTTATTGGACCGGGCAAAATTGAACGTAAAGAGGAAAGCGTAAACTCACATCAACGTATATATATCTATATACGATTGTAGTATATGAAACTCGATTCCGATTAATTAACATCATCCAATCAGCTCTAAAAATCTGTTCCCGATGTCTTGCTACCGCGTGTCTACAACCACATACAATACACATTAATTTTTCATATTGTCTGTCTGACTATCCTATTATTTTTTACACATATGTATGTATTTATGCTTATGTACAATTATATTAGTATAAATAGAAGATAAACGCATAATATCGAGGATTAAAATTTTGTATGTTCCACTCCTTCATTTTAGCGAAGTTCCCTCTTTAAGATCGATTCACTTATTCAAATTGTATTTTACTAAGATACAAAAACAAAAACGTATGTCCAAAAACCATTATCCCACAAACCCACATTCATACTCGTACATCTGTAATTCACTCTCATACACACGAATAAATTATAAAACTGAAAAAAATAATACATGGGTGTATAATGCTATTACGAAGCAAAGAGAGTGTTTAATAAGTAATTCACAGCAGTGGAGAAGGGGCCACACACACACACACGGCACAGTTGAAAGGAAATAATAACAAAAAAATAAATAAAAAATTTAAATATTGTAATCGGTTTAAACTATATGTATAATTATATAATAACCTTAATATTTAAATTAAATACAAAATACGATTAAATCCAAAATAAACACAACAAACGCATAGTTCATACGCATGCGCGGTGAAGTCGAAATTTAAATTTTGGTTGGTTTTATCTTTTACATCATTAGAACAGTATCATTTTGTGGCATCATACAAGTGGAATGTGAGGAATGACCCTGAGGCGGTCACTGATTGGAGGTATGTATGTAAAAATTTCAAAACACCAGTTTTGTTAAACTATTGAAGGGTGGTCGACGGGGCAGGCCATCGACATTATGCATGGCTATCTGCTACAACTTTACGAACGTGTCTTAAAAAAACATTATTGTTCAAATACATATTTTAACCTACTTTTCAAATAATATATACTTTGTTTCATAATGCTTTCGTTGTAAAATATATTTTAATATGTAATAATATGTTTAAATGGATATCTTTAATTGTGCTCAACACCTGTAGCCTTAAAATTGTTTTCCATTTCAATGGTGCGGATTACTTTTAACAGTCGTGCTTAAATATGTGAACCCAGCGTTATTATCGGCGTTGACTGAAATACTAAATATACTGACATTAGTAGCCATACGTAGATCAAAATCCTATTTAAGTGACCCGGGCAGGTGAACCGACAACAATTAACAAGTAGCCTTAGATAATAGCGATGTTATAACTTTTATGTGACTTAATTTAGTTTTTTCCTAACTGTTCGTATTGCACAAGATTTCAAAAATCAATGAAAATTTATGAGTTTATTTATAATTATACTTTTATTCCCATATGTGTACAATATTTAATTTTAAATTCTGTTAAGAAGCTGTTTAATTAATATGTAAGCGAACTTGTGTTGATTTATTTGATCACAAAATAAGACTTATTTTTATAACGGCGATGATATTAATTTTTGCAAATATAATTTCGTTTTTGAATTGTTATTGCGAATACTGTGTCATACAAATTAACTATTGACTATGTAATAATTTAGTGAAGTCAGCGTAAGCCGATTCCAAATCAAATAGAAATTGACGAACCTGTGATTCTGATAATTCGTCAGAGGCCTGCATGTCATTTAAAGTGCTAAGCCAAGTTTCAACTTTTTGTTTTGCTTCAAAATCTTTCGGAATTAATGACAGTCGGTTCATATTATCAGCCAAGTCTTTTACGTCCGGCTGCAAAGCATCCATTGTATTCATCTTAAGTCGTAATTTGTCCATGATGGTTATGAATAATGAAACTATTTCTGCTATGCATTTGGATGTATTCCCTTTATCGTCTTTAATTGTTATAGGTCTATCTTCTCGTATTCGTTCCAGAGCTGCAGGACAGTCTAATCGGAATTTTTTTACAAATGAATCTATACTGGGATATTCATCACATTGAACTTGCTTGAATGCAACTTTGTACTGCACTAAATATTTGGAACAGGCGGCCGTATACTCCTGGGGAGTGATACAGTCACGGATGTACGCCTTTTCGAGCTGTTGAAGAGTATTGATAATTGCGTACAAATCAGCCATATTGTCGTATTTCTCTCGTTCCCGTGCATTCCGATAGAGCTTTACTTCTTCGTACAATTCTGGACAATTATCTTGCATTATGCTAGTGACCAAACTATATCAGCGGTTTTAATAATTTTTCCTGAACAAAGAAATATCAATAGTAATAAATGACGAATTCTTTAATGTTGATATTGTTTATATGTCACATTACACAAGTGGTGGAAATAAATTATGGTGTATTTATAATTTCACCATTACGTTGGATAGGTTGCATTTTCTTCTTTATACCTGTTCTGCTATTTTTATCTGATGTCGTTTAGACTAGACATTTGCACCATCAAAAGTATTCTATTTGTTTTCCGTTTCCGAGAATTCAAATTATATAATAAAAAAAAATGAATACAATTTTCAAACACTCTTCTAAATATTGTTCGTTATTATTTCTGAATAAATAAGAAAAATACTGAGTGGTGAGGTGGTCGAATAAGGAATTTAGTATTGTTTTAACTGAGGCGGGCGTCCGAAAAAGTCTTCTAATATATATGTACTCATAAAGTTAATAATAATAATAATTAATTTTTGAACAATAATGTATGGAAATAAATACTAGACATTTAAACTTAACATACAACTAATACAAACATGCCTTTCCTTTTCCTTGTTATCAATACAAAAATTATAAATAAATAATTATATTTCCGATAATTGTACGTTTGTAATGCTTTGTCTCTGTTTACAATTCTATGGGGTATATGGTTCATTTCACTAATTTCAGAGTACGTCTAATATTTTATTATATATACTATACATACATTAGACGTTCTCTGATGTACCTCAATTTAAGAAAGATTTAATATAATTAAATGATGGAATAAGTCAAATTATTTATAAGGGGTAACGTATTATTAATATACGTTCTCAGTTCATACATTTAGTAGGAGGACCATATATTGTTTATGTATGGTTTGTTATTGAATCATAAATACGAGTAATATCACGTAGTATGAAATAGATAACAATTTCTTAGATAAGTTTTATTGACGTGTGGATTTGGATTAGAAGAAATGTTTTACCATTTTTTTAATACTATTCGATATTTTTAACAACAGTCTTCAGCACTGCAAGTTCTGGAATAGACACACGTTCTTTTAATAATTTCAAGCAATGGTCTCGAATGTATATAAGGCAGATGTAAGTAAAAAATTCTTATGTTTATCAGCATAATTAGTTTATTAAAGCACGATCGAATTATATATTGTCGCTTTACAAATACTCAAACAGTATAAACTTAAATTTCATTAAACAATATAGCATAACATCTAAATATGAGCAGTAGTTTTTAGGTTTTTAAATAAATGCAATGTGTTAATATATACTTCGTACTTAACTAACCATATAATTTTATTGTTTTACTTTTAAAAATATTTAATACAGTCATTACGTTTTCAAACCTAAGTTGATTTGTTAGATCGTTACAGCGACGAACAATTTCAAAAAATAGGGGCTTGGTCAACCAAGCGATAGCCTTGACCGGAATAGGTTTTAGGTGGATAAACAACGAATAGACAAAGTTGCAGCATTGAAAGTAAACATCCAAGAAAATTTGGTATCTGTTAATAAGATAATTATATTACATGCATGTATTATCTAAATAAGTTCGAAATGTGTAAAATCTAACCTGTATAAAAGTATCTGATATGATGACACCGTATATGACCCACTGTACAGACACCAGAAATGTCATTACAATCAGTGCAAAGGGTAAACTTTCTGAATTTTTTACGCGTATCACATGAATTAACATAGTTAGGGGAGCTGCAAAGAAGCACACTGTAACAATACTGCAGACCAAACCTAAAAATAAGAAACTTTTTATTATTTGCATTGCTAAATATATATAGACACTTGAATATTGCACGTAAATATATATAGACACTTGAATATTGCACGTACCCATAACACGAACTTTTTCCTCTTCAGTTTCAACCAAATTTGTATAGTACCATACACCAAACAAAATACACAATACAATGCCAAATTGTCGCATATAGGACTTTTTGTTTACTGAGAAAATATAGAATATCATGGTGTAGCATAGAAAAAGGAAGGACCCAATTATATTGACTAATATAACACTGCGTTCATCAGTGAGCATACCATAACGAAGCCAAAAGGAAGTTCTATATAAGTTTAAAATATTTTTTCATTATTCGGTTATAAATGTTAATGCAAAATGTGAGGTCTACAATATACGTATTAAAACTCACGAAAGAAATCCACAAATAAAAGATAGTCCAGATGATTCGCCGGTACTTTTCTTTTGTATGTACTTACGGCATATAATGCTGAAAAATAAATATATACTATTTTTTTCATTGATACCTCGAATATTATTTGTACTTACACTCCAGACAAAAATTGTAAAACCGTACTGACTACCGCTGTAGACTCCAGTAGCACATCGTATGTGGGAAGCGGCATATTTAGCTATTTTCTAAGTATCTAATTTGTACACATGAATTTGAATCAATTGTGTTTATTTTAGTAAACTTCTTTCAAACAATATAAAAAGTTTTTAGACATCAATTTGTTTTTAAAATATATGAAAGAGGATACATTTTAAATGAGAAACAAAATTTGTTTGACTTTATGGTTGCTATCAGACTATTCTTTCCAAACCAATGTCTACGTCAACTGTTTTTATTTTGCTTTCAATTTTTATTTTGACATTGAAGTATTTACTTCTCGATTTTGTTGTGCTCACAAGAGAATATGGGATCAAAACACAACATGTAAAAATAATCAGCTGTCTTGGGAGAATGCACATGATATGCAAAAAGAAAATTCTTAAATGGATATAATTTTTGAAAAACTTGTTAAAAGTAATCTTTTTTTTCAGAGTTAAAAATTGTAAAGTAATAATAATAACAAGTTAACAATTAATTTGGGCATCTGGAAATACAGAAATTTAATTTCTTCATAAATAAACAAAAGAATTAAGGGCAATAACCGTGACTCTCTAAAACTTTTAAATTAACTCGTATAATTCCGGTTTCGCAGTATTACCCATATATTTGAAATAAATCGGTACTTCATCGAATGGATTTAAATATGTCGATGCGAAACAGATACGATTAATGTGTAAGTAAATTTATAAAAGTGTATATATTCGATAAATGCTTATTTTGTATTGCTTTTAGTAAACGGTAGCAACATGTAGAAATGATAAGTTTTCTCTTAATGCTTTCACCCTTGAACAGTAGCGAACAAGAATTAGTTCTCTCCGATAATTGGAAAGCACTACACGTGGTAGCAAAACAATATTAGGGCAATGGTGGTTGTGTTTCCAAAGAGTCTCAACAGCTAAAACTGCTGAATGCGATATGAATGCTTGACTTTCTCTGATATGAACTCATTGTGAACATGGCCCAACTGACAGCAGAGAACATATAACCAGTTCTTTGCGTTCTCTGCTGTTATAAAAAAGCAAAATTTGAGGCGCTCTCACACGGTAATAAGTTGGGTATCCCTTTATCACTGGCTGACAGTATGACTAGAAGCTCCCATGGTGAACAGTCTTTTCGCGGATTAAACAGTAAATATATATGTATATGAAAATTACGTCTCTGTTCCTGAACTTGAGGGAGAAAAAGTGATATGAAGGCAGATTTTTACAGAGATTCATTGTGCGAATAAAATTAGGAAACCTATAATATGTAAATGTTCATAACAAAATAATTCTACTTAAAACGTTGAAAAAATATAGCTATTGCTGGCATATGGCCAAAGAGGTGGCAAAACAAAGAACACAAATATCGCACACTTCTCACAATTTGTATTCACCAAATAAACATATAACAGAAGAAAACGGCGCCCTTGTATGCCTGCATTTACACATTAAAATCAAAACATAAAAAATGGAGTTGCATATGACAGAACAAAGTGAACCTCTGCATCCTCAAGATGGAGAACAACAAACAAGGAAATTTGGTGTGACCCACGGTACTAAGTTATCACTTAATGAGGCTTCGGAAGTACTCAAGGTATGTCTATTTGTATGGATGTGTGCTTTTAAAGTCAAGTACATCAATCCCCGTAAGTAAAAACTGTTTTGAAAGTGGATATACAAGAATATGCAAGCATTGAACCTTGTACCCTTTTTGGTACTTAATAGGTTCTCATCTGCTCACTAACAAACATTTGAGTACATTTGTGCTTAAATTGGTTGCACTCATTTTTCTAACAATTTACGTTTTGTTGAATGAAAGCACCTTCTTATTATAAAGTAATGGCACATCCTTAAGCGTGTATTAAAATTATGAATAATAAATAAACAATGGTAAATATTTAGTTGACTTAAGTTAATTTTTCTTTAAGCCTTATTCGATTTAATACAATATACTGTTAAAAATATAATAAATGTACATATAAATGCATCTAATGCAACATATTTTCTATATAACCTAAAGTTAATCTGATATAAAAAATTGTATTATTAAATCGAATAAGGCTTAAAGAAAAATATCTTAAGTCCTAATATGAAACATTGTTTATTTATTATTCAAAATTTTCTTGTTTTTATGTTTTTGTTCCTATATACTTCACCTTATTATATTAAAAAAATATATTTCCATGTTTACGTACACATGTATATTATTTTCAACCTTATAAAAGGGTTTTTAATATTTTTACTGATTACGAAGTACTTTGATAACTTTTCTGACATTTCTAACGATACATTTTTTCACAGCGACGAAGTACATATATACATATGACATGTAGGAATGACTATATCTCAGTTAACTCCATACACATATGCGTAAAATATAAATCTGTAGTGTTTCCAAATACTTTCAGTTTGATTCCTTTTCGTCAATCCTTTAAAGCACCTTTTTTATTTCTAGTTTCCAACCCTGGACCGCCTAATTATAATCTGTTAGTAACTGTTTAGTAACTAGCCAACTGCTTAGAGATGAGAAAATATAATTTAATTGTAGGATCATATTTATTTAAATTTTAAAACCATACAGTTTTATTTAGGACTAAAAGGGCAGATTAACATCTTTTCGTGTGTATATATGTTCCTCATACTTGTACATACGATACCCCTCACATAATAATCAAACTTTATATTCTTCCCTTGTTTCGTGTAGTCTTCTTACTTTTGTGCTCTGCCATAATATAGTGAAACTGGGTAAACATTGAAATGAAATTCCGTTCGAACTCAAAGGATAAATAAACATATGGTACATTTTCCAAACTTAAAAGCAAAAATATAAAAAATAAATTAGCAATATTAAAAAATGTAGCAAATGTTGAACCCTCAATTTCATTGTTCGACGAAATCGTAAATATATTACAATCAAATTTGATATCATAATAACTAATTTTGACGGTCATGGACTTCCTCAGCTTTATGACTATATTTTACTTTCCGTCAGCGAAAATTTAATAAAATCATTGGGGGCATAGAAATGGAAGTGTGATTGGATTAATTTTTGACATTGCTCAGGTATACTTGAGAAATTATTTTCAAGTAATTTTATAAATATGTACATATAATATATAAATATAAGCATACATATATGTATATGGAGTAAGGACAGTCGGACGTTTCAAAATCGTGAATATCTATTATAACTAGCACATTGGCTGATATATGTGGTATAAAGTCAACTGGAAGGTGAAAATCTCTATATTAGGTATATGGGAGTTAAGGGAAGTATTGATCCAATTCAACCAATTTTTGACACAAGGGTATATTATTATCAAAGAAACATGTTCTACGAATTTCAATAATTTATCTGACAGAATGGCCGATAAGTCAGCCATACGCACTGAGTTCACATATTTGGCGTCTTTGTTCTTGAAAAGTTATAGTCCGATTTCAACAATTTCTGGGCTTAAGATGAAATACCTCGAGTGCACTATTTTTTCGGGATACATTGATTGGTTATTGATTTATAAAGTAAAAGAATCAGATGGACGTGATAGTGGAACACAACACAAGGAAGATGTGTACAAAGTTTCATTACGATATCTCAATTTTTACTCAAGTTACAATCTGCACGGACAGACGGACGGACGGACAGACACTCAGCCGGATTTGAACTTGTCTCATCATCCTGATCATTTATATATATAATCCTATATCTAACTCGATTATTTTTTGGTGATTATAGTAATAATTGAATACGAATATACTTATGTGAGTATCAGATTTATAATCTTAATAGTTTATAGTGGAAGTTAGCATTACAGCACAATTAGTGTCCAACATCGAGATAACCCCAAATTATCTACGCATGAGCCCCTGTTAAGATTACGTTTGATTTATTGAATTTGTCAAAAAATTTTAGCGTAATATTCATGTGATTTCGTCAATGTTTCTGTTATGTGCTTTTGCTGCTGCCTCTTGCAGAAATTAATGATGTTACTTTAACCTCATATACATTCTAAAATATTTGTATTTTTGTGAGAGACAATTTTTTTAGACCAAAAATAAATATGTATGTCATACATATATCAAAATAAAATTAGTATCATGATTTAATTATTAAAGGTCATGAGGGATTGCTTGCAATAAATCTCTGTATTTAAATAGTCGTCCAACTCCTTTAGTAAATAAAACGTTGACAATATGGAGAACACATATTCTTCCAATGTACCATATCTAAGGGTAATATACATACATATGGTTATTTGATTTTAATCCAAGAGACCTAAATACATTAATGAAAATTAATTATGATGTAACTTCTCATTTTTACCGAACAAACCATTCATTTATAGAAGTATGCTACTGTTAGACACGCCAAGAGCTATTCTACATATTCACAATTACATAAAGTAAATATGTAAATATCTGATCAATGCTAAATTTACATAACTGAATGCCAAATCAACGAAATTATTGATTCTGAATATTGGAAACATTGTATACTCCTAGTAGAAAAATTTAAACTTTAAACTTTAATTTTCATATAAGTATTATTAAATATGAATACAATTGTGTGCTTGTAGAAACCACAATGGAGCGCTTTGTTAGCATTGGTGGGGTTCGCTACTACTTTCGGGGCTGCCGTTCCTGTGGGTTACTGTATTGGTGTTATCAATGCTCCGGCATCGGTAAGTTAACATTTATGCTTATTAATTTAATTTTTTTTTCGTTTCGATCTGTCTTGCTTTCCTATTATTATTATTATTTTTTTTTTTGTGCAGCTTATAAAGGTTTGGTGTAATGAGACTTTACACCATCGATACGGTTCTAATCTGAGTGCTTCTGGTTTAGATTTGCTTTGGTCATCTGTGGTATCAATTTTCCTGATAGGCGGAGCGGTTGGCTCACTTGGAGGAGCTAAAGCAGCCAATAAATTTGGCAGGTTAGTTGCTCACCAATGGATTTGCTAATGACAACGAGAAGAAACCAAAAAATAAAAATGATGTATAAATTTCTCCACACCATTCCATGATTATATTTTCTTCTTCTTACTCATAATTCACATTTCTGTTTAAATTTACTTGTACTCAATATTAAAACCCTTGTTAATGTTAAAGGGGTGAATCATGAATATGAGGTTTGAAAGTCTTTTTGATGGATGCAATTATTGAGGCTTTAAAATATAATTTGAAAAATCTAAAGTTCTGGTGGAGATACTGCTAGGTTTCTCGGTTAAAGTATTATCGAATTTTTTATTACGTTTTTCTTTATTTTGAGATTATGTTAACTTTGTATATTAAACTAATAAGTTCCTTTCAAAATTACAGACAGTTCATTAATTTATTTTTCAGAAAAGGTTGTTTTCTAATAAGCGGTGGACTTTTTACGTTGGGCGCAATCCTGTTCTTTTTCTGTCGCGCTGCTGGCTCCGTAGAAATGCTTTTACTTGGTCGTTTGATAGTCGGTCTCGCATCTGGCTTGACCACAGCCATACTACCAATGTACCTTACAGAGATTGCACCACTAGCCTTACGCGGAACCTTTGGTGTTTTATGTTCCATGGGTGTTACTGGTGGTGTTGTGGTTGGACAAGTCTTTAGTTTGCGCCACATTTTCGGCACCGAGGAGCTCTGGCATTATGCTCTAAGCTTTTACATAATTTTAGTGGCTGTATGCTACTTGCCTGCTTACTATTATCCAGAGAGCCCAAAATTCCTTTACATAGTGCGTAACGATCATGAGCTGGCTCGCTCTGAACTTCGTCGCTTATGCAAAGGACCCAATGCGGCCCTCGTAATAAAGCATGAAATTGATGAGATGGATGCAGAAATGAATACTAAAGTACAAACGAGCTGTTTCTTTTCGGTGCTAAAAGATCCAACATTATTGTTGCCATTGATCATCGTTTGCTCGTTTCACGGTGGTCAACAATTGTCTGGAATTAATGCTGTAAGAGATAAATAATTAAAAATAGAATGAATCAGCTCACTAATAAGTAATGTAAAATCTCCAACAGATATTCTATTATTCTGTATCAATATTTGAGAAAGCCGGCCTTTCCACAGCTGATGCGGAATGGGCGAATTTAGGCGCTGGTTGTCTAAATTTGTTTGTGGCCTTTTTGGGACCTATGCTGATGTCAAAGCTAAATCGTCGCCCAGTGATGATATTTTCCAGCGGAATTTGTTCTCTCTTCCTCTTCGCTATCGCTTTTGTTTTATATTACATAGTAAGTTTGCGTGGTTTGCCAATACAAATTTGATGATGTGTCATTTAATAAAATCTTTTTTTATTACAGGACACTACAAGTTGGTTTCCCATACTCTGTATTGTGTGTATTATGGGATACATCTTCTTTTATCAAATAGGCTTGGGACCTATACCATACTTCATTGGCTCAGGTGTGTATTAAGACGCCTTTCCACCAATACATTTTGCATGTATGTGTGAGTAGAGATAGTTTCTATTCAAAATTAATTTATGCACATACACGTACGTATATACATATGTATTTATATATTATATATATTGTTTTTTAATTGAATCACTAAAAGGCAGTCAGTGTTTACTCATTGCCACGAGCCGTCACAAACAATAACGTTTGAATATGAAGATATTCGACACGTTCAGCATAGTTTCAGTAATGCAATCAAGTTATTGACCTAAAGAGTGAGGCATTTGATATTAAGTTGATTTTTAATTGAATTCAATTGGATCGCCTGTATTGTTTTTACAGCCTTAGTGTTTATGTGATTTAATTTTAACGAAGTCACGTTTCGCTATTTTTAGCTTTTAGTGTGTTTTGTGGGCTATAGATGTAGAAATGTGAGTCAATTTATGTGACCATTCATGCAATCAGGGTTTTCCGCAGAGAAAATTGAATTGCTTTCTGAATGATTCAATTCCATAACTGGTCTGTATACTTTCGATAACATGTGTTACATTGTGCCCATCGTAATTGTTTTAAAGCAACTCTTATGTACAATATGTGATAGTATTGTGTGAGACTATACAGAAATAGTGTTTAAAGTAAATTTAATATGCCGTAATTAAACTCTATAAATTAAGGTAACTAATCCCAATTGATGTAACGGACCAATATTTAGTTCCTAGTACTTGTCAGCAGAGATATAATAACACTAGTTTACAGTTATTTGGTGACTGTCATGTTAGGTGCTGTTTCTTGCTAATTTTGGGTTGCTAAAACCGAAAATGATAGTAAAATTTTCCTAATACGTAGAATTTTGTGTGTTGTAGTCAAGGGGTGTAGGGGTCAATCCACTACTATTTACTAAAATTACCAAAATAGCTGTACGTGATGAAAAATTTTTGCACATCAGTCGCACATTTTTCCTTCAGATTTGTTTAGTAGTGTAATTATATCTATTTTACAGTTGGAATCAAATTTGGAAATTTTAGGTGGGTAAGCTGAATAGTTTAAATAGTAGTGCCACATTATTCGCCAACTTGTTGAACCGTCAAAGCCTTTTTCATGCGTAATGAGCTGAAATTATTATTTGCCAATTACCTTTACATTAGTAAACGAATTAGCTCAATTAACGTCGATACATTATTTATAAGTTCGTTCGAAAAAACTATTCTCTGGTGATTTGGTGGCATTTCTGTATCCATTCTCTAAAATGAGTAATTATCCTGAAATTTCAATTTAATGATGTATTTAAGGATGTATCATTACTAAGTAACCAATAGCCAAAAATTGAATCATATTAAAAATATACATTTATTTCTTTCTAACAGAGCTCTTCGAAGTCGCACCTCGCTCGGTGGCCATGTCAATGGGCAGCTTATCATCTTGGACGTGCAATTTTACTGTCGGCATGGCCTTTCCATCGTTACAGAACGCCTGGGGCGCTTTTGTATTCCTGCCATTCTCAGCAACATGTCTACTGCTCTTCCTGCTAACGAAAGTCTATTTACCAGAAACACGTGGACGGGATCCGTCTGAAGTTGCGCCGATGGTCGCTAAGGGTTTTCGCTCAAAGGTGAAATAAGCCATGAATACTGTTGGCGTGTTCATAGTGATAAATGAACTGATGAATGCATCTTGATGTTTAAACTAGATTAGTAGGAAAATTTTTTTGGGTATAGATTCATGTAATATATATGTACATATGTATATAATGGCGCACAATGCTTTTTTATGCAAAAGGTGTTATGATTTAATAAACTATAATTATTTAAAATGTTAGAAAGGATTTGGGCAAATTCTAATGGTCTGCAAATAAAGTTCGTATTGTATTACAGAAGAACACAATCATCAAGGGAGATAAACCAATTATGGCGATATTACAACTTTTACCCTTTTTGCTATACAATTTACCTTTTTGCTTGAAAAAGATTTCTTCATTATCATTAAATAAGGAAAAACTGTAATGACTGTCGATGGGACACGGGAGGATGATTTATAGGAACCGTATCAAAATTTGTAATTCAAAAATGTTCATATGCATTTTATTTGGCACCCCTTTGCATTGGAAAGTTCAGTTAATACATCTATTACAATATGCAACTTCACGCAGTTGAATTGAATTGAAAATCAACTTTAGATCAACCAAACTCTTTTTTGATGCTACGAACTAGAACTAATTTCAATCGCAGTTTTATTGATGTTGCTAACTTAAAGAAGAGAAAATCTAAGCAAGCTCTTTTTTTTTTGCTTAATGAGATCAAAGAAAAATTCTACAAACGTTTGCGAGGAACGGTTTTATTTCCTAGTTTTGCTAACGATTTATTTTCAAGCGTAATCGTAATTCAATTAAGATCATATGTTTTACACCAAATAGCCAATTATTTCTGAATTTACGTTCAGTGTAGCCCGTCCTTTGTTTTCGCGCCACAGTCACCGTATTTGTTCCTAAAAAAATTTCATTTTGTTCAAAAAATGCATTCATAGGAATAGTAGGTTGTTTTAATTCTTTATGTTCGCAACATTTCCCACAGTACCTTAATTTTATTATACTGCCCAATTCAATCTGTTGGAACCTTGTTTTTTCTACATCTCATACATTGGGTCGTTCACTAAGTAATTTCGTTTTGTAGTTCAATTTAAATAAATTTTTTTTTTATTGTATAAAAGATTTTATGAAATTAGACAAATTTTATTTTTCAGCATTCTCTTGAGTTGTTATTCGACGATTTGCATCGACCAATGACTTTGTTTTATCCGCTTCGGCTTCAATGGGCCTTTCAGGACGTGATGCCTCCTCGAAATAGAAATTGTCGGAACGAAACTTTGTAAGCCAACTTTAGCATTGATGTTTCGTTAACACATCTACGTACACTTACATAATTTTCGCCCTGCTTGAACTGCATTTTTACTCTTTTTGTAGTAAAACAGTAAAATATGCTAAAGATACTGTTTTTGATCTTCCCTTTTCGATAGGACCCCAAACTTAAATTATTCCAAAAGATTTAAGAACATTTTTTTTACAAACAACCCTTACTATGTGTACTGTTCAAATATATAACGGCAAAACGGTTAAATGTAAAGTTGGCTCCGAAAAAGTTCAAACAGATCAGCTGTTATTATCAATAAAATTACTTAGATCAAACATTACCTTTTCTATCAATATTTTTCCCAAATAAACTGCACTAAGGTTAAATTTTTTGATATTTTAGTCAATCGCACTGACACAGGGTTGAAAACCTTACCACAACAAAAAAGTTATAAGTTCCACAATACTTTAACTGAAATATTTTTGATGAATAGAGTTGATATCGATTATACTGAATTTCAAAACTTCAACCAAAATGTAGTTGACTTGGAAACCGTAATAGCGGCAAGGGTTGTGCATGGTATGTTTGTGTCAATCATATAAAAAATACTCACATGAAGGAATCACAACATCTTCTGTGTCGATTTTAAAATTGCTTTTCATACCTTAAAGCTCTGTCCTAGGTTTTTCTCTATACAGCTTAGATACATATACGCATTAAAGCTTTATTTTAAAATAATTCTAACTCATATTTATGGTACATATGCATATGTATGTATGTATATATGTATGTACATATATGGCCTAATAATATCTATAAAGCTAAATATTATTATTTTTAACGTAAATGCGCTAATTTGCATTCTGCTTGCTGATATCGTGTGAATATAAGTACATAGGTATGTACATATATACTGATGTGGGCAGAGAATGTTGATGTAATAATAATACATTAACATTCTCTAGTAGAGGCCTCCTCAACAGCTAATTTAGGCATAATTGTACATTTTTAAATATCTTGACATTCCAAGACATTCAAGTAAATACCTTTCATATTGGGGATTCACAATATACAAGTATATAGTTGTTTATAAACATCGATACTGTTCTAATATTAACTGTACCTTTTTACATTTCATATTCGCGCCACATTATTCTTGTTAAGGAACACTAATCATTTTAATTAGTATGTTGCAGTCGCTATTTTTCACGGAAGCGTCAGTGAGAACCGTTTTTTTTTCATTTCCATTAAATACATACATACATACATGTATGGTATATAGATAGATTCATATATGGATAGATACTAATTCGATCGACTGAGTTGTATATTCGTAAGGTGTGCTGGTATTTCAGTAGTTTTCGCTGGTTTTCATAGGAGAACCAGAAAAAGCATAAGCAAGTTTATCTGGTACGGATGAAAGTCTCCTATTTACAAATCTGCATACACAAACGTATTAAATACATTGTTTGCCGTTTTGAATATACTTAAAATGTGTTCCTGGCATTCTTTTAGGCGTAATAAAATTATATGTTAGCGAACCGCAACCCGTTTTCATGATTGTTCGCTAGCCACTTTTGGGTTTTTTTGTGAAACATTCCTAATGTGAGGATAAAACAAGAAAACCCGTTAACTTCAGTTGCACTGAAGCTATAATACGCTTCACAAATAAAATAGTTTCCATACAAGAACTTGATATAGTGCAGCGATCTGAACAATTCATTCGGAGATTATAGAATTGCTTTGGACAATAATCCATGCCAAATTTTTTGAAGATTTTGATTTGGATTGTTCAGTTTGTAGGACGGAAATATGCCATAGTGGTCTAATATCGTCAGTTCTGATAAATGAGCAGCTTCTTGGTGAGAAAAAGACGTGTGCAAAATTTCATTCCATTAAGATATCTCAAAAACTGAGGGACTATTTCACGTATAGATTATAATATACATTGCATAATATTTTTGTTCATTTATATCAATAACTTTTGAGTGGCATAAGGAATTGATTTGCAGAAGGGTACTTGTCTGTCAGTAAGTCCGTGCAGCCGTGTACCGATAACTTGAGGAACAATTATTCTTAATAGACTACCAAAAACTTTTTCGAAACTCTACAAGCGAATTGCAAGTTAAGAAATTCTTGTCAGTTCTACAAAAGCATAAATAGCGATCGAACAGACTTTAATCCCCAAAACGATATACTCGTACTGCTTGAACACACACTGTATCCTAGTAACCGAAACACAAGGAATTCAATACAGGTGGGTAGAACATTTCGACTTGTTAACAGAAGCAGTCCTAATGAAAATCAACAAAGGTAGGTGCCACAGGCAGTCGTCACTAGAAGCACTGGAGTTCAGAAAGCTAGAGGATGCCATTACGTGACGATTACGCCCATACGCGAACCAAATTATGATTGCAAGATTTATAACTGAAAGAGGCACCACCGATCAGATATTTATAGTGAGGAACATTTTTGAAAAAACTAATGAAAATCACCACATTTCACTTGTTTATAGATTTCAAGGTGGCATACGAAAGTATAAATAGATCGTTCTCTATGAGGCCTAATATGACAATAAATTAATAAATCTCGTTAAAGTCATAATAGTGAACGTAAGAAATGTGGTACGAATTGGTATTACACTATATCAAGTGACTTTATTTCAAAAAATATCCTTCGACAAGGGGATGGACTTTCATGTCTACTATTCAATCTTGCATTTGAAAAGGTCATAAGGGACGCGGGAGTAAACACCAGAGCCACAATATTTTCAAATCGACCCAAATTTTGGCTTATGTTGACAATTCGTAACGATGTATATACGGCATGTATAGACGATTTAAAAAACTGCCTTAATGCCAATAGAAAAAGCTGCAAACGTTATGGGTCTTAGAATAAAGGGGGAAAAGACTAAAGTCTAAAGTCTTAATATCCTCAAAGGTGAAATCTGCTGTTAACAAAGGTTACTTCACGCCAAGCAAACACCCAAAGCGTCGCACTTTTGACAGATCGGTGAAAACTTCAATCTACTGCGTACTGATTGGTCCTGTGCTAACATACACTAGCGTAACCTGGATATTATGCAAAGCTGCAGAAAACAAGCTACAAGTCTTTGAACGAAAGGTGTGGCGCAGAATTTTTGGAGCTGTTTGGAGCTATTCGTGTAGTCACGAGCTACAAACTTTGTATAAGCACCCCGATATTGCGGCAACAATTAAATTATACAGGCTACGGTGTGCTGAAGAAATACATAGCAGAAGCAGAGGGAGACCAAAACCTTAGATGGATTGACGGTGTCGACTAGAACGCTAAAGCGCTGGAATTACAATGTAAGCGAACTCAAGAAAGGGATAGACATAAGGGACAGTTGTGGAACCGATGATGATGATAACTAAGAAGTAAGACATTGCAATCTAAATTGTGTTATTCGACAATAAATACATTTATCTAAGTCTATAAACAATTAAGCCACAAAACTTACATTTGGCACAGGGGTTTACAGGTGTGCAAGGCGTATAAGCTCTTTATACCCTGAACAGGGTATATTAAGTTTGCACGAAGTTTGTAACACTCAGAAGGAAACGTCGAAGACCCTATAAAATATATGTATACAAATGATCAGCATGATGAGCTAAGTTAATTTAGCCATGTTCGTCTGTCCGTCTGTCCGTCCGTCCGTCTGTATATATACGAACTAATACCTCAGTTTTAATGTTATCATTCTGAAAATTTGCACCTGTTCTTTTCTCAATAAGATGCTGCTCATTTTGTCGGAACGGCCGATATCGGACCACTAAAGCATATAGCTGCCATACAAACTGAACAATCGAAATCAAGTCCTTGTATAGGACGTTTCCTTCTGGGTGTTACAAACTTCGTGGAAAACTTAATATACCCTGTTCAGGGTATAAGAATTATGAAACATACATATATAGTAGAAAATCGTTACTCCGACAGTTTGATTTACATCTACATGTATGACACTGACATAATTGGCCTCCAGAACTTTGATTAAACTGGATCGAAAATAGACCTATGGTAAACAGATAGTTAAACTGAAAATCAACACATGTGTATATCCGGAATACCGATAAAACTCAACTAGCATGTAGTAGTTCCATTCGTAACAATAAATACTTTCGTATAAACGAGAATGTTTTCCAAATTTCAATTATTAGCATGCACTGCTAGATATGTACACATGAATATACGCTATATACGCATATATGTATGCATGTACATACTTACATATCAATAAGTGAATATACGAACCCTGCACAGTAAAATATTCGTAAATGTTAACCAACAATAGTAATAAGTAAACAATCGTGAGATATTAGTTATTACGTGCGGATCGACCGAAGCTGGTATTGGGTACTCGGTACTCGTATATAAGTGCACCGGTCGTATTAAACGTTGAGCAGAAGTTACTGGCGCGCGAATCAGAAAGAACTCACAGTTTGGCAAAAAAGCAAAAACAACAACAAAAACAAAAGCGCGGAAATAAATATAAAAAAAAACAATTTGTGTACAGTGCACCGATTGTCAACATAAAAAGGTGATTGGAACGCGCGTCGATCGCATTTATATCTCGGAAGTGCAGTGAACAATATCTAAAATCTAGCAATAGCAAAAATTATATGCATCTACTGATGTCACAAATGAACATAACATAAAAAGTCATAAATACACAAATAAAAAATATCTAGATATCAATGCGGGACATTATTAACTGCAAAAAGTGACTAAATCTGAAGTACTATTAGTTGATAAGAGTTTATGAAAGAGTGAAGTTGTTCAAACGAAGCACCAAACTAGCACGGAGCAATAGCCAGAATAAATGGATAGCAAATTGGAGAAAAATGAGGACAATGTAAGTGCCAGGATCAGTTTGCGGCAAAATTCTAATTCTTTAATTCTAAGGATAACAAATAAATTGTTTTGTTCTTTAAGGTTTATGAAATAAAACAAAAGTTGATTTGTATTATACAAATTTACAAGACTCACAAAGTAATATGTCAGAGTAAAAATATATTCCTACCATTAAGTTAAAAATGAAGGAATATATCAAAATAAGTTTCCAATTCTCTTTTTACGACATCGGCTTAAAAACAACACAATTCCATTTCAATTGCTTTGGCAACAAATTGTGGAACGTTATTTTGGAGAATAAGATCCACAAACAATCCTTGCTTTTAATTAGTTCATAAATATACATACGAGTTTTTATAGCAGTGAGTAATTTGTACTGCCATCGTAAAAGCTACGCCAAAAGTTACGAAAATTTAGCAAATATTCAAAAACATATATTTAGTGTTTTCACTTTTTCTAGAACTTTAGCTGAGTTTTATGTATGTTACACAACAAAGTAAGGGTCCAACAGTTTCACATCATCTGACAAGGGGGGTGAAAAGCGTGTTGTTCGAAAATACTAAAACATAGTGGTAGGCACGTGCTCAAACCAGCTTCATACGACGATGTCTATATATGAAAATTATATAATTAGATTATACAGGATAAGTACAAGTCGGTTATGACTTAAGTACTATCATATTTTGAATTGACGGAAACTATGATAGATTAGATTATTTGGGAAGAATGCTCACAATATTGGTCTGTTGAAACTGATAATAAAGCACAAAAGACACGTTCAAAGTATTTCTAATACTAAATTCTGCGCAATAAAAATTATGAAGAAAACAAATACAAAAAATTAAATTATCAGCAATTCATTGAATTTTTTTAAATGAAATATACATACATACATACATACAACAACTTCGTATGAATATTGTGTATTCTTCAATTTTTTGCATGCACAGATGTCGAATAGCAGCTAAGGCAGAATGTCGCTGGAAAAACTTCCCATCAGCCGTTCGGAAACGGCTAATACTTTAAAAGCCCTCTGCTAAACGCCTGGAAAAGTGTCAATTATACATTACTATGTACATACATATATTTATGGTATACGAGTATAGTACTTCGTCTAAAAAATATAATATTATCTGTTGCTCATACGCAATGTCGGACTGAAATGTAAATAAAATTGCTAACTCTTCAAAATAAGGCGTTTCGACATGTTTTTCTTTGTAATACATATTTACAACTATTTGTTAATACTCCATTATCATTACTCTAAAGAGCTCTCAAGTGTATTGCTAACATTGAAATCTCTAAGAGCTAAACAATAAATAAAGCAATTAAATCTTCAATTAAGCACTCAATTTTTTCAAGTGTTTCATAGGTATACACTCGTGCTACCCACCGTGTAACTTTTTTTTAGTCCGCAAGTATAATTGTATTGAAATTTATAACAAATTTCTTAATTAACATACTCAACTTGGCTTGTGATAATTTGCTTTAATAAAGTACTCCCACACTTACACTTGAGCTTGAAGCTAAGTTACAAGTATAATAATAAACAAAATTTGTTTGAAATACATACATACTTATATGTATATATCTTCCTGTTGTCGTAACCAGGAAAGATCGGCGTGAAACTAAATAATAAATGCAAATCAAGGCTACACCATCCACAAGTAGGTGGATGGGCAATACTGTGCTCAAGTAAAAATTGTCAGTTTTGAAAGGATTTAGTTAGGTGTGGACTCTGCACAAAGTTATAAACCTGCAGTTAACTTGCGGATTTTTATTAATCTTTCGTCACATTCTTGCTATGCTTAAATGAAATGGAAGTCATAAAGTTTATATAAAAGAACGTTCATGGTTGGGAATAGGTATCAATAGATATAATTAAACATTGGAATAAATAATAAAATAATTAGAATTCGTCCTTCATTTATGGAAGAAATTAATTCGAACATACACTGAATATCTTTATTCCCAGTCATGATGAAAAGTTTCATTGAGAAATGAAAAGCTAAATCAAAGCGATAATCAAGCCTGCTACATAGGACTACGGAAGGAATATATGTTTGTGTCCAGTTTCATTGAACCAATACTTTAGGTTCCCCCATGCACCATAGTTGTAAGTATGTATTACAAAGAAAAACATGTGAAAGCAATAGTAAAATGAAATTAAATATAAGAGAGTTTGTGAATAGCTTATTAAAGTGGTACAATCGCTTGCCATAAAAATCTGTGAAGTCTAACGTAAGTAATATTCGATGCGATCTGTACATGTAATCAATACGGCAATTATGAGTACTTAAACCAGTTTGTAAATCAATGAACTATTAAAATAAACACATTTAAATGGCAAATAAAAAATTTACTTAAGTAAAATCCCCAATACTCTACATTTACACTTAGGTAAGAGTAATCAGTTATTTTTATTCAAAGTGCACACGGTGGTTGATTTATACTAACTTCGAGCTTAATCTACATTTGTGCATAAACTAATTAATTTTGTCTCATAAAATCGATCATGAGCAAATCAGTGTCAGCTCTAAGCTGTAGCGATAATAATTGACAAATCTAATATCACCTAAGTAACTTAGAGATAGTTATCTATCTATCTAACTTATGGTCACTGTGTGAACGCAGACACAACGCAAAAAAAATTTATCTATGTTTCAGAGTTGGATTGCTGCATTCGGACAAAACTATAACTTATAGCAGCAGTAAATTGTTTAGAACAGAAACTTTTTTTCAAATACAGTGACACTTGAAATGATTTTTGCGCTTCCGGGTACATTTAAAAGCTATAACAATTAGTTTCTTCAATAAACCAGTCGTCGAGCTTAAATTGCTCACTATGCATTAAGTGCATTTTTAATTTGAATGCTTTCACTGAGTTTTGCTTTATTATATATATTTTTTCTTTTCAACATTTGCAATAGCAATATCGCCAGATCAACAATTTAGAAATTTGGCTCGTGCTAAGGTTAAATCTGCTATTGAACTTAAAGGCATATGTTTATTTACGTACTTATATTTACAATCGTCTGTGAATATATTTAAATGTGTTGTTGTACAACAGACATTAATCGCCTTCAGTATGCTTTTAATCTGGGGAGGCGAGTGCATAGTTATGCGACCTCACGTTTTTACGAACGTTAATTTCGTACAATTGACGGAGGTGAATACTCGTATACTTGAAGAGCAATTGGCGAGGTCGCAAGGTGGAAAATGGAGAACAATTACAACCAGCAATCGCCAAATGCAATTGTTGTTAATTCTACAAGAATATATTGAAATATATTATAAGAAAATATTGTAAATATTTATGACCGCTAATCGCTGAGAAATTATTAATTGCGATCAAGTGAATACCCTATCAGTTGTACTTGGGGAATAAATGCCATCATATTTACTTGAATTATTCATAGGTACTTGAACCATGCATAATTGCACATGATTTGTATACTGAATATAGATAATTAAATAAGGTAAATGGATCAAAATGTAATATTTAGAAATCAGAAGAAGAGTCAATGTGCTACTTCCTACTATTTAGTATTGTAATTATTAATTGCAAGTATGATTTGAGTTCTTTTGTTCTCAATATCGTAAGAGGCATTTATATGATATTACTATATTTCAATACATATATACACATATTTTAAATATTAGTTCCAGTAGTAGCGCATATAAAATACTCTATGAATTGTGAGAATGTGAGGAATATAACAAATATGAAGTCGCAAATAATTTGACCTTGACCTTGGAAACCAGTTACTGGAAACGACTGTAGCATAAATTCGGATAGAGAAATGTTTTTGGGAAGTAGCGCCATTAGAATGTTATGCACTAAGTTTGGTCGGAATTGGTCAACCAGTTTATGAGGAAGGCAATTTCACCGATGGTAGGCGCCATGAACATTGCCCAATTATTAAACTGGCTTATTAAGCTATCATTATTTTTGCCTTAAATTGAAAGTTTTATTGATAAGTGGCGTTGTTCTGATAAAATATAATTCTTTTCCTGTTTGCCAAAGCTGACCGCTCCTAGGTGTTTGCTTACTGCAGACGGTCCAATTGTTGACAGTACAGGTCCTAATTACAAGTTTTGCGGTAGGTGGGCAGCTCATCGCAGCTTAATCGAAGAAAAACTGTATATAAAATGCTAGATTTCGTTTTACTATACCTAATATTTAAACATCTACTCAAGTTATTGTTCCTATGTCCGATTCCAAATGGCTGATGAATTTCATGATAATCATTTGCATGTCAGAAATACATACGTAGGGTTGAAAGGTGGCAAACAGCGCCAGTTTCTCAAAATTTAAAATTTACATTACCAAATTAAGCCACTAAACTTTGAAGTGTTCTTTTAAAGAGTGCAATAATCGACAGATTTTGTTAGAAAGCTATAATAATAAACACAGCTGGCCTGTTTTAATAAAGGTATTAAGGTTGATGTCCAATCAGTAAAATAGTTTATTCACAAAGTATGAGAATGTTTGTACATTATCAACGACGAAGCAACTCAGATAGATCAGTCCTAACGATTTGTTGTCGCAACATAAAATATTATGTTAACGGTTATATATAATACATATGGTACATTTATTTTTCAGGCGCAACGTAAAGGTTGGACACCTCTGTTGGCACTGGTTTGCTTTGCAACCACTCTTGGTACCGCAATTCCCGTTGGCTATTGTCTGGGAGTTATGAATACAACCGCAGAGGTACACACATACATACGTACATACATAGTTGCACAAAAATATAAATAAATAAATATATTTAAATTTAGTGTTTTTCCCCGTTTACTTAATTTGTAGTATATTAAATCCTGGTGTCTCGATGCATTTGCGATACGTTACAACGAGCAATTGAGTTCATCACAAGTGGATCTGCTTTGGTCGGCGATTGTGTCTATATTTCTTATTGGCGGCATTTTCGGGTCATTTATAGCTGGAAGTTTTTGTAATAGATTTGGAAGGTTAGCTCATTTTTGCTATATTGAAGGAGTTACGTAAAACTAATTGATATTGTTGGTACAGAAAAGGATCGCTGCTGGTCAGCGCATTCCTGTTGACACTCTCCGGAATTCTTTTACACTTTTGCCGAATGACAAATTCGGTGGAAATGCTCTTAATTGGACGTTTTACCATTGGGGTTGCTGCCGCAATCACCTACACCGTTCATCCGATTTACCTTCTGGAGATTTCACCAACTCACCTACGCGGCAGTGCAGCTGTCTTCACATCGATCGGCGTGACTGGCGGCATTTTCGTTGGACAAATTTTTAGTCTTCAGCAGGTTTTTGGCACCGAAGATCTGTGGGAGTTCGCACTCAGCTTCTATACAGTGTTGGTAGTGGTTAGCTTCCTTCCGGTTTACTGGTATCCGGAATCGCCACGTTGGCTTTATTTGATGCGTCAAGATGAGCCAGCGGCGCGCAAAGAACTGCAACGTTTGCGCGGACAGAATTCCGATGAGTGCGTGAATATCGAAATAGCGGATATGAAAGAATTAGTTGCATATGCGAGCAACGAAAAAATAGGGTTTTTGGCTGTTGTGAAAAATCCCGAATACTTGTTGCCACTAGTAATATGTTGCTCATTTCCACTATGCCAACAATTAAGTGGCATTAATGCGATCTTCTTCTACTCGGTGAGAATATTCATGAAAGGAGGCTTTTCGCTAGAGATTGCAACGTGGATGAATTTTGGGGCAGGCATTTTGAATTTAATATTTGCTAGTGTAAGCCCTGTAATGGTGCAAAAGTTTGGTCGTCGTCCTCTAATGATGTTTTCCGCTGGCGGCTGTGGAATATCGCTCTTCGGCATGGCTTTTGCCCTGAATTACATTGTGAGTATTAAAAAAGATGCCTCATTCTATTATACATGCATATACACAGACAACTTTTCAACCCAATTATTTGTTATCCAATCTCATTTCTAATAGGACCGCGTTAGTTGGTTGCCAATTCTTTGCATTGCCTTCATTGCTTCGTTCATATTCTTCTTCAACGTGGGCCTGGCGCCTGTGCCATATTTTGTGGGCGCAGAACTCTTTGAAGTCGAGTCACGGTCGGTGGCCATGTCGATGGGCAATTTTTTTTCATGGAGTGGTAACTTTATGATTGGAATGTTCTTTCCCATGTTGGAGGCTATTTGGGGTTCTTACGCCTTCCTACCTTGTGCTGCGATGTGTCTTTATTGTTTTCTGTTAACGTGGCGTTATCTTCCCGAGACTCGCGGAAAAGATGTTGCGGACGTTAAACCATTAATGGCTAAAGGATTTCGTTCTAAGGTGCATTGATGAGCGACATCTAATTTAAGAAAACTTAAGAAACCATAATGTTTTCGTATGTTAAAAGGTATACAAGTATGTACGAGTGCTTTAATATTAGCATTCATAGATGTCCCTATACTGTAAAGTTTAAATTTAAGATATTTCAAATGTAAATAGGTTGCATATGTTCTCTGTATGTATATATCTTTATGCACGTATCTATAGTTATTTATTTATTTCTTCCAATTATTGCAAGCTTCAATATCGCATCCATCTTATACAAATTTCGACATTTTCAAATGAATGAAACAAATTGTTGTTCACGCTAAAACAAATGACATCTACAGAAAATGACGCGAAACGACAGTACCTTAGAAATGAATATAGCCACAGATGAACACGACGCGAAATAATACTAGTAGACCCCTCTTTTGGAAAACCGCACGAATTAATGCATACACCCAATATAATATATATAAATATAGGTATATACATATGTACATATATAAATATATAAGCAGTTATATGCCAATCATTATTACGTTTTAAAATAAAAGTTGTCAAAAGTGTGTAAAAGTTAATGTGAAAGTTGTTACTAATTGGCAGTTCTCACGAATTTATGTAGCAAAAGTTGAGTTGCCCTTGCTTTTCTATTTCTTTTGCTATTTAAATAATATTCCGTAGGTGGTGTCATATTCGAGATATACATTTGTTGACAAGACAGTAAAATTTAGCTTGACTGCTTTTACTATCAAATTATGACTGATGACAGACATAATTCGAAGCAATTTTTTACAAAAAACATTGAAACAAAAAACCTACCAATTGATGACATTTCCAGATAATTTAGTCGTAGAGAAAGATATAAGTATGAACTCTCTTTTACGACACAACCATTTCAAACTGCACCACGGTCCTATACTAGCATACAAGACGAGTTTAGTGAACTCAAAATATTATATCTAAATTTGGCAATAAAACGAAATGAGAAATAAAATTGGGAACTATTGAAGCTTTAGCGGTATTTTAACATTCGAGTATACTATTAGTTAGTCCGTATTGTCCGAGTACAGAGTGCATAGAAGACTCTGAACACGTATTTTTTTAGTGCCCCCGTTTTTTAAATATTAGGGAAAAGTTAAAATCTACACTCGGCGGTAGTCTAACGGGGGAAACTTTAACAGCACATATGTGTCAGTCCTCTGATAAATGGAAAACTGTCAGCGATGCGGCAGCTCTAATTATGACAAAACTGAGTTACTTACAACAGATTAGGTGTCAGTCAGTCCGATACTTAAATGTTATTTTCTCTCCCATGAAGTAATACTTAATCCGGTGGTTACGTGGGAGAGACATGGATTGGGAGTAGGTTAGGTTTAGCGGAATTAAATATTTTCCCTATGACAAATAAGTTTTTTGCAACCATTCTGATGAATATTAACCAAATAGTACTATTCGAATAGTCGCAGTAGAACGAATATGCACGTGGCGTGAATATTTCACAACAGAAGCTAAGTTCAAAGTGGTCAGGCGTTTTGTTACAATACGTTAACGAATTCAAATTCTTGTTGATGGATTTTGAAGATAAAGGTGTTGTAGTTAATCTTAAATCGATACATTAGTTTACCCTGTATTTCATGCATTTTATGTTCGTCTTTAATATGTTTACATAAAGTTTTAGTTGTGTTCCCCCCCGGATCCCCCTTTCATTTCTTTTTCAGTGTATCTGTGTATGTCTTAAGGTAAGAAAAAATATAAGTGTAGCTACCGCAATTTGCCTAAATGCGTATAATCTGCAATATACTAACGTCATATATTTCATTCAAAAATAAAAATAAATAAATAAAATTTGCCTAGGAAAACCGCTGCTTTGATCTGTTGTTGTGCTGTATTTGTGTGTTTTTCAATAATCCAGACATATCTGCTGATAATACGGGAATTGGTAAAAGTTTAATACACAGAGCATCAACTTTGTTGCAAGCCATATCTTTGGTTTACAAAATTAGTTCAGCAAAATTTGGAGACAATGCTTTTGAAACCGCAAAGCAGCTGATTGGCAAATATCCCTGGTTTTAACTCCCTCCATCGGTTCATACAATTTTACTTAATGGGTTTGAAGTTATAAAACATTCCTTGGTTTCGATTGGGGAGCTCCTGAAGAAGTTGCAGTGGCAAGGATTAAAGATTAAAGACAAAGGTTCCAATGTAATGAACATATTTCTTTTAAGCCTTGATCTCTTTATTATTGGGCAACGAAAACATGCTTATAATCACAAACAACGCTAATATAGTCCAAAATAGATTTAATTGATGAGACAATACGAAAATTATTAATAAAATTGTTGTTTGTTTTTTAATTATAATATATAAATGTTTTTCTTGGTTTATTTTTCTGTTATCACAACATTTTTGAGTACCACAAATCAATAGGAATATTCTTGAAGGTGTTTATTTTTCTTTTGTATTGTGTTATTATTAGTAAAACCACGCCAGTTTCCCTCAAAATAAAAAATAAAACTGATCGATTCGTTACTGTCTGTTACTTTCGGAGCTATAGGGTATAGTCGTCCGATTTGTTCAATTTTTTTATAATATATTTATCATATTTTTTTAGATCTTTGGTCATAATTTCAAAACGATATCTCATCAAAAAGTATCTATGGCCACGGCTCCTATACAAGCGAAACCACTTTACAGGTTTTGATTTGAGCACAAAATTTTATTATTGAATGTGTAACTTTTTTCAATACAAATAAAAAAAATAATGAACGCGAATAGTAAGAGTAGTCGACAACGAACGGTGAACCGGGTAATCGAAAATGAACGGTTAATCAAATAGTCCACGACTTACAACTATCCGGATACTGCAAATCGAATAATGTCCTATCCGGTTAGTCGATTAGTCGAATACCAAGAATTAAATTATAGCATTTTCTTTTCTCACTAAAATATTGCATTTATTCTGCCATATGTCCGGGCTGTCAAAGTTGCGTGCTTTTTTTCTCAGAATGTTGCCTTCTAACCTGAAAAAAGTGCAACATTTTTTGCCCTTCTCAAAACGTTGGGGTGAGAGTTGTCTAGACGAAACAACAAAAGTATTAATATGGCATTGTTATACAATGTTTTGACTTGAAGTCATGAAAATTTCAAAAAAAAATTTTATTTCCAAAGTTATAGCTGTCTGTGTTGGCCCAGTTCCAAAAAAAGGTCCTTGCGGGAACAATCATAAGTTATTGGAGATTCATCTAAAATCAATCGGATAAAAAAATTAGTTTTATAAATAGATCATTTTGGGTCTGATCGAAGCTTTTTTTTCAAAAATTAACAAAATGGCGGCCTCAGGTAAATTTTTTCTAGATTTTTGGAAAAAAATCAAAGTTAATTGGTCTTAAAAAATCAAAAAAAAGATCAGGCCCGAATTTATTATGTATTTTAAAAGCTGTATAAATTTCATTAAAATCTATTGAGCGGTTTTCGAGTTACAGTTGTCACCAGTTCAAAAAAATAGTTTTGAGAAAAACGCTTTTAATTTTCACACTAGATTTACGTACAGAAATACTAACTACCTGCTCCCGAGTGCTCTTTGTTATTTGTCGAGTAAGTCAAAAAGTAATTATCGAATCAACTTTAAATTTTCAGAGAATATTTTCAAGATATTACACTTAACGAAAATTTTGACTACCCCCAACTCCTTGAATCAAGTTTTTCTACTAACCATAATGAATCCATAAGTTTTGTTAAGCTCAATAATAGATATTTATATACAATTATATAATATTGCCATATAATGAGGCCACATTTTCAGCGAGAAAAGAAAACACTATTACTTTAGCCTTGATAGGGTGCTGTGAAAATATAGAAGAGGGGAATCATTTTATAGGTAATAAATGATTTGCCTTTTACGATTTAGTATTTAGGTATGTGTTCATGTGCTAAAACATATATACAACTGTAGTCTAAATAATAATAGTGGTATAACCAGGAATTCAATCGAAGAGAAAAATTATATATTTGATTTTTATTATAATTCATTTTTATTCTATTTTATTTGCTGATATTACAGCTTTCAAAAAATATGGTTTTCATTTTTCAAACGTTTAATTTAGTGTCTGGCAAGTCCCAAATGCTTTATAATTTAATGAGCTATGTATATGTACACTAAAAAACTGTTAAATCAATTGGCATTAATTAAAATTTTCGCATTTCAGTAAAATCTTTCAAATAATGTGACTATTTCCCTTGTACTGCTATTTTAATTCAACACAAAAAACAGAATTAAGCAAAAAAAGCTTTTCGGATTCACACAATGTGAGATAATTGTTAAGGCAACATCTGTCGAATACAATTCTCATAACTGACATTTCACTATGGGAATACATATGTATTATATTATATATAGATTAAAAGGGATAAATTTCACACCAGTTGAAATGTTAACTGGCTGATCAGGGGTAGAGTTCAACTTTCAGCTTATGACATAAAAATACTTTTAGTTCTAGACTATATGATTAAGAAATTTTTATTTAGCATATCGCTTAACTATATGGTTCTGATTGACTTTTCATGAATAATTTATAGTTTTCTTTATATAACTAGTTCTGAAATACATTTGGGGGTTCAACACAATTCCTTGAAATTTCTTGGAAATTAATCTATCAGTTTCATTCACTTATATACTTTGTGCGCTATGTTAGGTTAGGTTAGGTATGATGGCTGTGTGAAGCCATAAAACTAGAACTCCTGTATCCGTTCTTGATCTAGCAAAGGCGAGACAATCAAGAAGAAAGTGAGATGTTCAACCTCGCCTTCCTCCATACTGTAAGATTATAGGTAAGATTCTCAAATTTACAGATTACAGATTACGTCGATAGAGCCACTTTACGAAAACTACGAAATTCTTCCAAAATTATTTAATTGCTAGCAATTTTTTTAAGTTAATATGATTAAGATAGTAAAATAGATCGGCTGTAACGAAATTTCTAGAAAAATGATTTCAATATTTTATTTGACCTGATAATATTACTAGGACTGGCAAATTTTCAAATTAAATTATTGAAAGTTTTAGGGGAGCCTTAAGAGATCTTATTTGGCAGTTTAACATATATTTTCACAGTGTACTACAAACTGGTGCATACTTTGTTTTTTTTTTTTTAAACAAAGATTTTTTCCCATATAATTAATTCACTTAAGTAAACGTATTTTATATACGCTATGCATGTAAATGAGAGTATTAATAAGCTGCTGGGGAGACTCTTAAATGAATATACTAAAAGAAGACACCTGTTGTAATGACCGCTTATGTACGTCAATGCTTAAATATTCACTTAATATGTTGGTATTATTGCAAAAAATGGCATGGTAATATTTTGAAAATTAAATCTTCTGCAACAAATGTGTACACATGTAACTGTATAATATTGAGGATAAGAAGTTTGTGCAAATTTATTAAACAAGGCTAAAGGAGAACATTGACCAATTTTATCAATTTAATCAGACAACTAGTTGAATGTACTTGTATAAGATCTCCTTCGCGAACCAATGTATACGGTAAGTAGTCAACTACAGGGTCGAAAATCATAATATTTGATACACAAATTCTGGTGGTTTTCAAAGAGAAGCCTGGTTGTGGCCCATTTTGGAACTGATCCATATTAACGCATGATATATTATCGGCCTCATCAATTACTGTGCCTATTTTAATGAAACCCCTTTGAAGGTGTGTTCGACTACAATAGTTTTAATAGTATATCCGAGTTGTAACAAGAAACCTTAATTTATTTTCCAAATCATTACTTCAATTCTTCAATTCCCCTCGTTATTTCGATACGTTTGATATAGATATGTATGTACATACACAACGTGTAACTTGTTGCGAGAGAAAAAATTGCGATCAAAAGGATTGAAGATGAATCGTGGATCGAACTCAACAGTGAAACAGCAAGTCAGATGGTAAAAATTAATAAACATCTTTGAGTACTGAATATAGCATTTTCCATATAGCTTTGTACATTCTTCAGCATTTCATTTTGAAAGTCAACAAATAATTATTATTTTTAAAACATATTTTTCCAATAGAAAAAAACAGTTTATACGTTTATTAAATTTTCGAGAAAAAAATTCGATTTTTCTTCGATTAAAGAAACAGTAAGAATCTTACCAAGCACTAAACTTGACTTCAATCAATTTCTGTCACCTCACCTTAGGTTACTTTCGATTTGAGGCCATTCGCCATCAAAGGTTTCACATCCGATGGCTCAAAACCGCGTGTCTCCGGGACATAGCGCCACGTGAGCAAGAAACAATATATACAAACACCACCACAGGGTAGGAAGCAAAATGGACCAATTAAACTCTCTACAGGAGGGAAACACATACCGATCAAGAAATTACCGGTCCAACATGAAAAGTTCCCGGTAGCCATGGCCACAGTACGAGGTGGTAATTCAAAAAGTTCTTAAAAGGTAAGAGTTATCTTATTTTTAATACATACATATATCTAAATGTTTAGTTGTATAAAATTACACTTTGGCAAAATTACCTGTTCCTATAAAGAATGGTATTGGCCCTAGGCCCACATTGAAAAATGATATGAAGGAAGCCATTAAAATAACGCAAAGTATTGGGAACCAACTGACGTAATCCTAGAATGCATTTTAGTATCCAAATGCATTATCAAATGGATATAGGTTTGTTAATATATGCGATACTTACAATATACTTCAAAGCGAACCCCAAACCAATTAATGATGTAGCACAAGCACTCGCTGAGAGAAGCATACAGGGACGTCTATTGAATTTCTCCATTAAAACTAAACTAATGAGCGCAAACACGAAATTCAATACACCAGAACCGAAATTCAACCAGGTGGCATTTTCAACGGAAAAGCCACATTTGGTAAAGATTCTTACTGAGTAAAAGAAAATACCATTAACTCCGCTCAAGGCTTGACAAGCGGTAAATGAGATAACAATTAGCACAGGCAAGCAAAATTCTGAGTTTTTCATCACCGCCCAAAATCCAAGTATTTCACTAGAGGCAGCCGCTGATGCTTTCAATTCTGCGATTTCAGCATTTATAGTTTCTTCAGCATTTTTTCCACGTAAACTTTTCAAAGACTTCCTGGCCAAATCTTCGTCTTGGCGCACCTTAATTAACCAACTAGGTGATTCGGGAAACAAAAAGGCCGGCAAGAAGCCAATAAGAACAAAAATCAAGTAGAAGCTTAAGGCCAATTCCCAACTCTCCTCATTGCCAAACACTTGTTGTAAACTAAATATTTGTCCAAAAACAATGCCGCCCGTTATGCCAAGTAGTGTGAAGACGCCAGCACTGCCACGCAAATGTATGGGCGCGCACTCTAGCAAATACATCGGCTGTGCGGTATAGATTAGCGCAGCTGAGATACCGATCAAAAAACGACCAAATAACATCATCTCGACGAGGTGAGCCTTACGGCTGAAATACAAAAAAAGTCCAGCAAAAGATAACAAAACACCGCTGAATGCAAGGCAACCTTTTCTGTAATGAGAAGTGAGGTGAATTTACACACATTTTTATGTATGTACGGCACTCCCGACTTTTACCTTCCAAATTTGTTGCTTATAGATCCAGAAATAAAAGAACCCAAAATACCGCCAACCTGAAAAATGGACACTATGCTAGCCCAAAGTATGTCCGCCTTCGTTGCGTTGAGTTTAACGCTGTATGTACTGGAAACACTAGAGACAGTCCATTCTTTTATGATCTTGAAATCGGCAATACATGCAATGAGCAGTTTATGAGAATATTAGCCCAGCTCACCTCAGCAGGTGTATTCATAACCCCCAGTGCATAGCCAATGGGTATAACAGCGCCGATGGTGGTCCCAACACAAATCAGTATCAGCATTGGCGTCCACCCAACTCGTTTTGGCTGTTATATTTTAAAATTTATTCATTTTATTAAAATACAATGACCGGACAGTGATAAAATTTGAATATCTTATGCTTACATCGATAGGCATCTCGTGAGAATTAAAATTATCTTGTCTAATTGTATCTTCAAAGGAATTGTATTTTATTTGATTTGTTTTTTTTAATAAAATTATTTCCGTCAATATTACAAGTCATCAAAACGACTACAGGCTACGTTCATTACAAAACAGAAATATAACAAGTATGGTAGGGCTAAGTTCGGGCGTAACCGAATATTTTATACTCTCACAATTTGCATGCATTTGCAAATACTTTTAGCTGTTGTTCAAACAGGAAGAAATTTAGAATAACATCTCCCGAATTCAGGGCTAAAAAAATTAAATTTTTTCATTATTTTTTATTAATTTTGTAATTCTGAAAATCCTTATTTAAAAATAGTTTTATAAATAATTTTTAAATTTGTAATCGGCTATGTACAATCGGCTTCTATGGTATATATTAATTGTAAAAATTGCTTTAAGTCATAATTATAGTTTTTCTTAAACTCGATTTATTGTTAAAATATCTTACATATTGGCATATCAACCGGAAATCTTTATGTTGGTCTATGGGGGCTACGGTAAGTATTGACCCGAATTTACCAATTTTTGATACAAGAACATATTTTGAAAATTAATTACACTTTCGATAAAAAGTTAGCCATGAGCACTGAGAACCACATATTTGGTATCGGGTGGTTGAAATATTATGGTCCGATTTCTACATTTTTGAGACGCGAGATTGCCTACTTTAAAGGCACTATTTACCTAAAAGTTGTTTCCAATAACTTAATTGGTGCTTTATTTATATACTGGAATGTGAAAGAATCGTAAGGAATTCAAAAATGTAATACATATCATATGTATGGTACATAGAAACCAGGCGTGGTTGTAGCCCATTTCACCCATTTTCACAATGTAACAACTTTTCTGTAACGAGTAGTTCCTGAACTTTGGGATTGCACCTAAAGGTGGACGGTGTCACGCCCATTGCCCAAATCTTATGTAACAATAACTATATTGGTCCAATAGTTTTCATGTATCCTGCTCGTATATCCTTTAGATACGTCAAAATCCACAAATTCACAAAAATTACTTAAAGTCAATTAAAAATTCTGCAGAGAAAATTAATTAATTAGTGATCTCGCCTTCTGATAGGTTTATTGTACGTCTTTCGATTGCTATCAAACACCTTTTAGGTTGGAGTTGATATATCATAAGATAAATCGCACGACACCACCGACACTGTTTTGATTCCATTAGCTTCTTTTACTTTACAAAAAAATTCACTCATCATCAAAGATAAAAAAACGAAACATGTAATAACAAACATGTAACAATTATTTTCTAAAAATGATCGAAATCGATCCGTATCATCTCAAAGGCTTATATGAATATTGATATTCCTTTCTATTGACTTTGACGAACTATTTGTTTTTTTAAATAGTCAAAAACTTGTGCCCAGGGTTTATCAACGATTACCTAGCTCACTCTATAAAGCCTTAAGTTTTTGAAACTTTTAATTAACCGCTCATCTGCTTAATGATTTGATATGATCTGCGCAGAATCTCCAACGATCTCTCGACCGAAAATCACTGATCGTTGAAAATCGTCATAGACACGACGTCAATACCAAGTAAAAATCTCAATTTCGAACTCTTTTGATGACCGTCGCGGCAAAATAGTGTCAGTAGTGATTTCTCTGGCGAACGGCGAAAACCGAACCGCGTAGAAATAGGAAAAGTTGGTGTGGCACAGACCTACTTATTCTGCTTACGTATGCTGGTCCTATTGTCTTAAATTTATACCCGGCGGCATTTTAATTCGTCATTTATCTATTTCACACATTTATGCAAATATAGTGAATTTAGTTTTATTCATTTGTAGTTATAAATAAAAAAATTTCGTTGCAAAAACGATTTAAATGCATATGTACGAGTATGATAAAACAAAATAGATTTTAAAAATATACTTGTAGTAAAATTAAGTGGATCCTGTTAATCGCGCAAACAAGCAGCCCAATGGAAACCAAGTAAATAATCAAACTTTTTTGAAGCAGTATAAAAAATTGTATATGACGATGTGCATACATTCATACATATCACAAAATTGTTTATTCAAGTTTTGAATTGTGATATTGTTAGTAGTGTCTATATATACATACGTATGTATTTCAATAGTGACGTCACGTTGACTCTTAAGATATACAAATGCAGCTAAAAATACAAAACCAATATATCTACATCATATATACTATAAATTCATATGTACGTATGTATTGCCTAGGTGAAGATTATCGTAAATACAATCGAGGCGATGACGCTCTTCTATTTACATTGATTATAGTTTTTGTTCGGGGGCTGCCGTGTATCGGAAAATCTCAACGAATCATTGTCGATTGCTATGAGCAAAGCAACTCGATATATACGTAGGTAATCAGCAATTTTTTATAATTGTGTCAGACGCAAGAAAGAAAAGTAAATTAATCCTCTTTTGGCATACTCATAAGAAATAGATATGAGACCACGAAGTCTGATATCGGGTAGTGATATAAAGGACTTAAATATTTTCTAATACTAATTATATGATGGACTAATCGGGAAATTTATAAATTATTATTTTTTGGAATTTATTTTTGTAATTTCTAAAAACAAAATCATTTAACGACTTTTAAAAGTTTGAAACCTCAGTAATTAAAGCAGCGTCAGACGCATTTAATTTCAGAGCTATGGTGGTGCTTAAGGGCTTCATGGATTTCGGTATCATTGAACAATGGGCGTGACTCCGCCCACATTTAGGTAAAATCGTATACCTCCAGAACTACACGAAATTTAATGTCTCTGCCGCATTTCGTTACTGATTTATCGCATTTTTAGTAGTTTTTAATGATATTTGCTGTGCAAATTTGGGTGATACAACCTGAAGAATTTGGTAGATATATACATTAAACATATTATGGGGCCACGCCCACTTTTAAAGCTATTTCAAACGAAAGGTTGAAACTATAACAGGTTATTGCGATTAGTTGTACAAAATTAGGGTGTTGAATCTTAATTTGCAGCTCAGTTATGGCAACTCTAGCAGAAGTTAATTTGACACCCATGATGAGAATTAATGACGACAATCGGCCTACATATTCTTTTAATTGCGACTGTTAAGATCATATGAACTCGAACGAGTGCCGTCCTTACTTAGAAAAATTATTATAATTTGCGGGTATTGGCGCATCTTACGCACTGTCTGTACACACTACGTAGGAGTCCAAGGAATTTAAGAGTTCATGTTAATTTTTTGTACGAAAAAGTCACTAAGCGAAAATTTGTGTGGACATCATTGTTGTTTTACTCAAGTTTCCTGACGCGTCTGTCAATAAATAACCAGCGTGATGGCTGGCACATGTAGGTGACAGATTTCACATTAAATTAATAATTACAATAATTATTTCTCATGTGTGCTAATATTTATACATTCGTTGTTTGCAAAAAATACGTAAAACCAACAAAAAACAAGTAAGGAAGAACTAAGTTCGGATGTAACCGAACATTTTATACTCTCGCAAAGTCAAATGGTATACTCGTTATAGATTTCTTTGTGCATCTTGCCGCCTTGTTCTATGTTGACCGATATTTTCGGTAAAAAGTCAACTATAGGCACTGGGGTTCACATATTCAATACCTAGGGGCTTGAACAGTTTTTGTTCGATTTAGACAATTTTTGGTGGCGTACTTTAAACGTATTATTCACGCAAAGTTTTACGCCGATATAATCATTGTTGCTTGATTTGCATACTGGAAAGTGAAAGAATCAGATGGAATTGAAAATGGTGTTATTTGGTAAATAGGCGTGGTTGTAATCCGATTTCCTCCATTTTCGTACTACAACATAGAAAAATGGGAAGAATATTATGTACCGAATTTGGTTGAAATCGGTTAAGCAGATCCCAAGATATGGGTTTTCCCCTAAAAGTGGGCGGTGCCATGCCCACTATGTAATTTTGAACGTGGTTCCTATAAAATCATCTTATACCATCCCAGAGATAAAATTTAATGTCTCTGGCTTGTTTAGTGCTTGATTTATCGTGCATTTAGTATTTTTTAACAGTACCGTTATATGGGGAGTGGGCGGGGTTGTCGTTCGATTTCACCCATTTTCACACTGTCGATAGAGGTGCCAAAAAAATTTGTTATCAGTAGGTCAGTGAATTTGGTTATTATAGCTTTAGCGGTTTAGGAGATATGCACATTAAACTTATTAGGGGCGGGACCACGCCCATTTTAAGTGCAGATGCCCCTCCCTAATGTGATCCTTTGTGCCAAATAACAGTCTTGTATCTTATTGCGGAGCTTAGTTATGGCAATTTATTTGTTTTTGATTAATGGCGTTTTGTGGGCGTAGCAGTAGCAAGACGGACAGACGGACAGACGGACGGACGGACAGACAGTCACCCGGATTTCAACTCGTCTCTTTATCCTGATCATTTATATATACATAACCCTATATCTAACTCGATTAGTTTTAGGTGACACAAACAACCGTTAAGTGAACAAAACTATTATACTCTGTAGCAACAATTTGCGAGAGTATAAAAAACATTATATGATACATTTTTCTTTACACGAAACCCGGCATATACTAGAAAATTTTTATTTTATATTGCTGTTTATGTTGTTTCAATACCATCATAATTTTTTCCGCGGTTTTCAGGTTTTCAGAAGCGATAGAAAATCTATAGTTTAGAGAATTGAAAGTTAAAAAAAAAAATGAATAAAATAAAGTTAATTCAAATTCGATTACAACACTTGAACAGTTGATCAATGTCATCAATGTTTAGGGTTTTTTAGAAACATTAATATCAATAAAATATATGTATGTAGCTTGATTATGACCACCTCAGCTGAAGTTAAGATAAATTTAGTTGCTAAAATTATTTTGATAAACCTAACGAAAAATAGATAAAAACAAGTATGACCCTAATTTGCGGGTTTAACCGAAAATTTCATACTCTTACAACTTGCAAGGATCAAAGACGGAGAAATGCCATACCTTCAGGTGTTGGCAAAACTTTGTATTAAGAAATGTAGCGAAAACTTCGTAGTTCTTCGTGGTTCGAGGAAATGGGTCAGAGACATTTAATTTTACATTCGAGATAACACAAAAGGGCTTTATAGGAGCAGGTGTCAAAATTGGACAATGGGCTAATGTGGCACCACCCACATTTAAGTGAAATCACAGATCTCCGAACCTATACCACCAATTTCAACTAAATTTGGCACACAATATTATTTTGACATGACACGTATTAGTGCAAAAATGGAGAAAACGGAACACAACCACGCCTGCTTCTCATATAACACCATTTTAAATTCCATCAGATTCTTTCACATTCCAGTATCCAAATAAATCACCAATTAAGTTTCAAAAATGGGGTGAATCGGGTCAATATTTCTCTTAGCCCCCATATACCTAATATAAAGATCTTCGAAGTTCCTTGTGAATTTATGCCGCATATATCGGCCAATATGTGAGTTATCTCAATAAAAGTGAGAGTGCGTATTTTCCTCAAAACAGTGTATTTTTGTGTCTAAAATAAGTAAAAGCGGGTGAAAACTTGACCTAGTCCCCATATAACTAATCACAGAATTTTCAAACATCAGGTTGATTTTACTCCATATTATTGGTGACGGTATGTAAGGTACTTTAATGAAACTCAGGGAGCAGGGACCAAACCGGGACGAATAGTCAGCAAAGTCTAGACATTTGTCAAAACCTTATATTTCTAAAGTAATGAATTGCGATGACGTTTCACATCAACTTATTATATTAAGATTAGCTTCTTCAGTTGAGTTTATATCACATATATCTCATTTGAAGACGGTTTTAATACAATTTTAGCTGACGGGAAGTGAAATATAGTAATAAAACTAAATGAGTATATGACCTATATTATAACTAAAAACATACCAAATTTGATTGTAATCCAAACAGAAACTCTTAAATTTATATATCTACTAAACAAACATATAAAATAAATTGCAACTGTAGTTGTGTGGCAAAATAAGAAAATAAATAAGTTTCAAAGTATCCTTGTGGAAATGATCAAGCGGTTTCCTCGATTTTACCAAATTGCTACTATGTTTTCTGTTTGTAACTTCTTCGGAAGTGTTGCGTTAGAAAGATGTATTAACTTTGTCCATGAAATATCTCTAACTTAGGTAATTACTATAACTCAATCACACTTTTCATAAACAATTGTAGATAAACATATAATATCTGTATGTATATCACATGCACATGGTGGATACGAGGGTGGATAAACAGAATCTCCGCAAGGTACTAAAAAGAAATAGCCATGACGCACAAATTTACCACAGATGTTAGAATTGTCGGGTGTTTAAGTTCCACAATACCATAGCTTTGGTTTATGTTTCTAATAACAAAGAAGAACAAAGTAGTTCAAAATAGATCGATTGGATATATGCATAAACATACTTGTATCTACATACGCTTGTACCTAGGCATATTAATGTTGTTAATTACGTAATTGAGTTTCATTTACATATACACATTTTTCTGTGTACTATAATTGTGTAAACCCTAATGTTTACAAGTTTTGTAAGTTCGAATATTACATTTACCAAGTATACTTTAACAATGCAAAAATAACAAAATATGGAAAATATGCACTTCTACAATACATAAAAACTTATTTGCCAATGTGTCTCTATATGTGCACATTTCCATACAAACATAAGTGCCACTGTGGAGTATTTGCACATGTTCGTTATATTTAGCAGATATTCCAAACTTACGATCACTATATACGTATTATTAGAGTTGTTCTGCGTTTCGCTCCATTACAGCTTTTGATCTTTTCGCAGCGCACGTAAACGGTCTGTCCAAAGATTCGTCAGCGAGACGGTCAGCTTGATCCAGCGTTTGCATGTCGGCTTGTTACTCGCAGTCACAGTCGCAGTCGTTTCGCTTCAAGCACCTAATAATTTTCAATTTAATTATGCGGAAAACATTGCGTAT